CTGAATTTCCAACCAAAGAGTGAGTATGGGCTGGAAGTAGCACCACTGCACATATATAGGTGATGAGTAGTTTTGTCTTTATGTGGGTCCCCAAAACAACTGGATTAGAGGTTATCCCTGAGCTTGGTCCCTACCTGTCTGTCTGTGGGTTCTGCACCCCTGAATAGGCAGCTTTGTTTGTCTTCAGTGGGAAAAGATGAGCCTAGTTCTTCAGCAACTTGATGGGTGGGGTGGAGAGTGGATTGTTGGGAGGTTGGGTGGGAGGGTTGGGGGGTTGACACTCAGAGGGGAGCTTTCCATTAAGTGGAATGGGGGATGACTTATGTGAGGGGAGTACTGAGAGAAGAGAAAGGGCTGATACTGGGTAATAAAGTCAGTAAATAAATAATAAAAGAACTAGTATGACTCAAGGACAAAATTGGGGTTTTCTATTTACATTTTTCCAACATAATAAAACTCAGTCTCTGACGAAACAAACAAATGAACAAACACAAAGAAATAAAAAACCCTAGTAATCTGTTTTCTGCTTTAGTGATCTTTTCCCATTGTGGCTTTCAAATAGAAAGCCCCACTTCTGCCCCAGTTTTCCCTGTCTGTTGACTGCTCCATGTGTCCTACTGGGGTTCCTTGCAGATAGTGGGAGACCATGCTCATTTGAGTACTGGAATTTCAGGGTGGTGCCATCATGCATCCCATTACCTGTATGGCTGGAGTGTAGATTCTTCATGGGGGCAACTATGTTTTCTTGATTGCATTTGAGACCATACTTGGTGCTTTATATTAGTGGCTTCTCTCAAAGCACATGGGTCTTCTTGGGCCCACAGACTGCTAGGAATGACTGAAAGGTCATCTGTATCACCAATACCCTGCAGAAGCACAGTTGGCTTCACCAGATGCATTGTCTTTCCATTGGAAACTCCTCTTCTCTTCAGCTATTCATCACATTCATCCTCCACATTTTCTCCAGGAATTCTTCAGTAAACCTAAGGAGAAGAGGAGGGAGTTCCAGCTCCACTCTACTCCTTCATTCAGGGAGGGTGTCCTTCTACAGGCTTCTGAGAGTTTTCTTGGGAAAAGGCATAGTTCTTAGAAGAGAATATTGTCTCCATTTCTCAATTGTTTTTCCTCTCCTCATCTCTTGCTTTCCCCCCAAATCCTGCAAAGTTATCCCAGACTCTGTTTTCTTTTCTAAACCAAACTCTTGTCTGTCAGGCCACACACATTTGGTGATTTCACAAATACAGTTGCTCTTGAGTTTCCAGTAAAGATGGACACAAGAGAAAACTCATTCCTGTTACTCAGAATTTCAAGGTCAGGCCAGTCCAGGTGACAAGTCACAGACTGTCTTTGACTCTTTTAGCAGTTGAAATTGCCTTTAATCTTAGGAAGCTTTTATTATTAAGTTCTTTTTAAATGTGAACCCAAATCTTCTTTCCAGTATTAAGAAAAGCTTCATTTCTCAAAGCCCTTGGGGCATGCTAGTGCAGTGATGGTAAGAGTCTGCTTCATTAGTTTTTAAGATTTCACTTGAGCGTTTGATTTTTAAATGGCTCTCTCATTACTAAATACTGTTTCCACATATTTTAACTTTCAGCACAATAGATTATTTTTAATAATAAAGTTTATTTTTGATGATTTCATAGATATCTAATGTAGTTTGATTACTCTCGCCCAGCCTCTCCCATGTCTTTCCATTTTGGGCCACCTTCTCCTTCTCCTTTCTTGTCACTTTGTTTTGTGACTTAGTGGGGTTTATCCCCAGCAATTTGCATGATCATACATTTGGAGCTGTGCATTGGACCTTGGTAAGCTCATCAATGGTTACACAACTCTTGTTTTATTACGTTGGATTAAGACATTTCTTAAGGTATTTGCCAATTATACTGTTCTATTAGGAAAAAAAAAACCCAAATCAACCACCACCACCACCACCACCACCAATAACAACAACAACAACAACAACAACAACAGCACTCTTTTGCTTTAATGGCTGCCACTGCTTCCCCAGACTGACAGCACATCAAATGTTTTAAAAGATTTTTAAAAAGTTTTAAAAGTACAGTTACTTTTTGAGAAGTTGGTAGAAAAAAATCATATGACCAAGTTTCAGGCCCACTCAATTCAGTGTTGATGAATTTGTTAGATTTCAAGGTCAAATGTAAAACTGTGGGAAACATTACACAGGTTCCTGCTATCAGTAGTTGGCCCTTCTTTTTCAAAAGTGTGGATGTGAATACCCCGAGACAAAATTGATTTGGAAAAGAAGGTCCCAGAAAAAATAAAGGATGAAACTTCAATTTATCACATGTTTAGTACTCTGATAAATTCACACTGGGGTGATGAGGCCTTCTGTTAGGTATTAGTGCTCCTCTGGAGATGGTTTAAAACACACCGGAGGATATGTATGCATCATATACAAATACTACTGGAGGATATGTATGCTTCATATACAAATACTACCCCCGCCTTCACACATATTTGAAGCATCCTTCAATTTTATTCATGGCATCCTCTACCAATCCTGGATGAATTACAATGGACATCGTACTATGAATACTTAAGGATATTGTAATAGGAAGGAAAAGCACAATGACTTATGGAGAGTTTTTTGTTTAACACAACATTCAATTGCAAAATCAAGACTGAAGGAGAGTTGACTCCAAGGATCAGGGAATAGTCACTACCATTGGATAGTGACAGTCCTCTTAATGCATACTTTCTTCCTCTCCTTGGCCAGGTTCTAGGACCAGCAAGAGTCCATGAGCAAGTCAGCAGAGAGATCAGACATATTTTCTTCTCAGCTTTCGAATGGGGTACTTGTGATGTCTGCCTTATATACTCACAGACTCAATAATTCCACAGATATAACCTTCAACATTCCTAGTGAGCAGAATCCTCTAGCCTCAGGAAGTCCAGAGTATGATGTCATTCCCTAATGATATTGTCCATTTATCACTCCTGTCAGTTGCATACTATCAACCAGAGATCCTTATAAGCAATGTTTCTTAGAAACATATATGACACATAATGCTTTCTGGGTTACCAGGGGAATAGAATTAGGGAATTGAGGCAATTCTTATGCAGAGAGGTAAATGTTCTATTAACTTGTTTTATTCAGACTATGTCAATGCAAATAAAAAGCAGAACAGACTGTGCAGTTTTTAAATTCTGTAAACTTACAATATTGATTCACAATATTGACCAGAAAAAGGGCAAAAGCAAACCAAACCAAAGTTTCTTGTGTGGTTAGCAGCACCTGGAAAGCTCTTGTCCTATATTTAGTGACTGTTTTATTCATCTCTCCGTTTGTAGTGCCATAGATAGCAGGTACTTGGTAAATATACGCTGAACTAGTGGATAAAAAGACTTTCCCTAGAGCACACATGAACAAAAAACAGGTCCGGTTTTTACTCACAAAACTGTCAAACATCTTATTGCCTTACTGGTGTTCTTCTTAAGACTGCTTTATTCTGCTGTCAGGACAACTTCTCCCTTCTTTTTCTGCCTCAAGGTAAACAGTGCTTTAGTTACATGAATGTATAAGGACCATGTCCACAATAGCAAATAGGTCATAGTAATAAGCTCTGTCACTAACAGAAGGTGTATCGTAAGGCAGTAGAAACATAAATTTCTGCTCTCACTATCACTAGTCTTTAGATGTAAGAGAAGTTAATGGGCTTAGTATGTGATCATTGCAGTTAAAGAAGCATCTTGAGCATGAAGGGCACCAGAAGTGCCATTGTTAGGACTGCTTGTGAAATGGCCAGACATAAAGTGCATATTCCCATGTTATAAGTGTTTGAAAAATACCTTGAATTGAGATATATTGAAGCAACATTCCTGATGTCATTACAAAAATAAGCTTTATTTTTAAAAATAAGCCAGCAGAGTATAGGAAGTATAAATTGTTTATTTTTCCTATAAAGTAAAAGAGTGAAGAACTGTTCAACACATTGGGATGCAAACAAAACTGGTAAGTTACAGGTTTCTTTAATCCGATAAGCATGTTCAGTTTTAGATGTACTAACAGTCTAAATACGATCATGTAAACCTAGTAAGAGTTAATAGGCAACACAAATTAGCCTTCATTTTGTGAAGTAAACATTTTTAACTACAAAATTAATATGTATATTGAAAATTATCGGTCCACAGCACTGATTTACAAGCTCATTACTTATAATTACCTCTTTTTGGGAAGTGTCTTATATTCTATTTTTAAGTGAGATTTGGGCCAATTAATGTTTTACAGCTATAGTATCCATATGATCCTGTAGATCACAGGTTCTATCACAGGATTCTATAGTCTGTTTAGAGTTCACTGAGAAGACTGCAACAAGCTGAAGAATTATATGGGAATCTGGATAGACAATATAAATGTTTAGAAAAATATCAGTGTGGCTGAGAAAGGTGATAAATGTCTACAAATCCAGCCCTCAAAGGCTGAGGCAGGAGGATTATGAAAGGCCAGCCTAGACAGTATATTTAGAACCTTTTTTGAGACAGAGAGAGAGAGAGAGAGAGAGAGAGAGAGAGAGAG